GTTCTTCTATAGCCGTGGGTAGTTGGCCAGGTTTACAGTAATAGGTGTGAATTCTCTCCCACTGAGCAGACCTTAAGTTCATTTAGATAGCTGTTGGTAGTCTGACAGAAGGGACCATTATTGCCCCATTGGGGATATCTTGTTGATCCAGTCATTGTGGTTTATAGGCTTTGCACTGGGTAGGACTACTGACTGCTCCTCTCCCTTGGCAGCTTGCATAGTACCTTCTACTACTGAGAGCTGCTCTTCAGGAAAGCCGCTTCCAGATGGTTCCTGCAAGTCCCATGTATGTTATCTTCAGCAATAAGCCCCTACCTTCAAGTTTCCAAAGGCAACAAAGAGCAATGGCAGTAGCTCATACTGTTATGGAAACTTGTATTCTCCTGACCAACAACAGCTGGAAGGGGAGGTTTCCTAAGCCTGGCACTGTGGATTTTGCTAGATGGGACATGTCTCTTGGGGAGAGGACCATCACCTCATGTGGTGTACCCATTAGAAATATAATCACACACATACACATGTATACGTATACACATAGATATATTTTAAGTACACTTAGGAAATGTTTCTATATTGCTGTTTTAAAACCCTTTAGTGTTATCACTCCTCCCTCCTCTCCCCCTATGCTATCATACACCTCCATTTTCCCATCACCCCTTCCTAACACCTGTTTCCTACTATCCTCCTCTCCGGAGCTATTAAAGAATGCCCCTCCCATGATCAATAATCATGTTCTATGCATGGAGACAATCGTGACTTGGGAAAATCAGATTTGTAATATTCAGTGTGAAATGGGTAGGTGTGAGGAGACTGTACAAGGGCTGCTGCTGCCATGCCTGGACACTTGATCAACTTTCTATATCCCGGAAAGCATAAATGAGAAGGACTGAGGTACACCGTGAGCTGAGTCCAGGAGCCCAGGCAGTGCTAGCCTGTGGGTGGCATGGTCTTGGTTGTTTTTGTTTCTGCCACCTCACTCTTAATAGATGAAAGGAAAAGAATGTATGTGTGGTGGGGTAGGGGGACGCGTACGCTTGAGAAACAAAGGTGGTTTTTCTGTATTTTCGTGTTATGCTCGCTCTTCACACACTGATGTTTTGTAAGAGAGGCTGGGGGTATCTTACAGCAGTAAAGATGTAGATCAAAATGAATTCCACAGTTCTGATCTTGACCTTTGATGTTCTCTCCAATCCTCTTGACCACAATTCCAAGAATTTCAAATTCACAATAATGTCTTAAGTAAAAGTCGGATTCAGTGCAAGTAACCCTGCCCTCTTAGTCTTAGGAATGGTGGCATACAGCTGCAGCCCCGCCACTGTCTCTTCTTGATACTTCATTCTCTTCATCTGCACCCAAATGACCATGTTGGGGTACTCCTAACCCCCAGACTTTTTATGCACCTGCATCATCCCTAACACACACCTGTCTTGCACAGGGCAGATGGTAGGCATCTGGTGTACAGTGGGGGGCGAGAGTGGCATCCACTCAGACTGTCACTTGAGGGCTATGTGAAGTGGCAGTGTCCCCTGAAACCTACCTTGGGTAGCAGAAGTGTGGAGGGTACATCATGAAGTTGTCTATAAGCTGCTGAAGACTGGAGGGCGAGAAGAACTGGGAAAATTAGAGTGGGGCACTGTCTGAATCCAAATCTCAGTAATTAGCAAGACCAACTGCATGAGAATCTGATGGGACGTGCTCCATGAAGAAGAAATTCTGTTGCTGAATTATACCTCTGCATACTTTATGATGTTAAGTTTGTCAGTTTCTGATAGGCCCGTGGGTCTCAGATAGCTACATTACTATTCATAACGGTCACAAAATTATGGTTACGATGTAGCAGTGGAATTGGCCAGGGGTCAGCATGACATGAGGGGAGCATTAGGAAGGTTGGGAACCACTATGATAGGCCAATGTAAATCTCCAGTTCAATCATTTTTAAAAATTACCCTTGAGGGGGTGAGTGAGGACGAGAGGTAAATGCAGAGAGAGCCAGGAGGGCTGGAAGGGCTTGCCTCACATGCTATTCTCTTCTGTTGCTGCGCAGCTTTGTTCCGGGACCACAGAAAGCTATCCTCAAAGACTACGCACCGGAGGTGGCAAAGCGCTTTCAAGATAAAAGACGCCTTTCAAGTGCGCTGAGAGGTGGCCAAGATGTTATTTCAAGTCTTTCCAGAAGCACAATTTATGCCTTTAAACATGGGAAAGGAGTGACAAAAGTTGCTTCTGCACATGGCTAATGAAGCAATCGAATCGTTTAGCCTTAGGAATTTTGCCACCGTCTGACTCTGAACTTAGAACCAAATCCACTCCTCAACTCAGAGCTGCTTCACCGGGTTGCACACTAGCATCTGGATGGCTGCTCTGGAGGGAAGAACAAGCCTGTGGCTGTAGACGATCCGGTACCTCAACCCCCTCCACTCATGGTATTGGGGTCTACCTTGTAGGTTTACTGGACTACTCCTGACAGACAATTCCAGCACTCTGAGAAAGATAGCTAGAACTATTACCATGAGGAGATGGAAGAATGAAAGGTATGTTCTGAAAAGTTAACCGGAGACCAGATTTTGAAGTTTTGTTTTTGTTTTTTTTTTTTACAGTGTAGACATATGGCCACGGGACAATGTTAACTCTTTTAATTGTAACCCTCTGCTATTTTCCATCTATTTAGTCAAGCATCTTTAATGTTGTGGAGTTCTCAGACATTTCCTCTAGAAATTGAGGCTGTTGAGAGGTCCTGGTTTTGGAAACGTGACCTTCCTGACTTCTATCTCAGCACTGTCTTACTAGACTGGGTGGTTGGCCTGGGGCAGGCTTGTGCCTGCAGGCTGCCCCTGGCCTTTCAAGGTTGTCTGCCTGGTGTGCTAAGCAGCAGAGTGACTCCAGCTCTTCTGAAACTCACTGAGCAACTTCACCAATTCCTCAGGAACCCGAGTCACGCTACTGGGCTTCGTGCTCTATATAGAACTTCCTGCCAAGCGTCTCAGTGGATCTCTGCTCTTTTTTCCTTGCTATGGTAGTTTTACTAATCCATTTGTTCCTTAGACAAGAAGAGGGACAACACACAATGTCACAATTTGGGCTATGAGTTCCTTTACCCCGCTGGGTAGCAAGCATTTGAGCTACAGTGAGCAGACCAAGCAGGACTGGCAGAGCTCAGAATGAAGCTTAGATGGCACTGAGCTTGGGGAGTATAAGAAAACCCCTGAAATTTGGGTTGATCAAATGCCAGGGACTAGACAACATCAGGCAGGAGACTTAGAGGCCAGCCTCTCAAGCATTCCATCATGGCTTTGTCTCCTCAACCACAGCCATTCCTTTGTTCTAAGGATGAGGGGATTTTTAATGACTACACATCAAATGGCACTGTGTTGAGGCCCACTATTTAAACCTTACCTCGGTTCATAGCCAGCTCTCCAGTTAGTAGTGATGGCGTTGCCAGGTAGAATGTCAAGTCTTCAGAAAGGGAGCTATGTGGGAGGTAGTCACTGACACCAAAGGCCAGCAGAGTGTGTTCAGATTTTCATTTCTGTACCTCTGTTTAAGAAATCTGGAACAATGAGCCATATGCACTATTTTTTCCTTTAAAACCCTTCGTGCCACCATTCCTGGGGCAACTGCATGGAGACAGCTCCCAGAACCTTGTGAGGAGCAAGAAGCCCAGGAGTGACTGTCACTCTGTACTCAGGTACACATGAGCTGCGTGTATCCTAAAGGTGCTTAGAGGCTCAGGAAAACTGTGTCATCACAAGAAGTTGCTGAGCAATATTCAAGAGGTATTTTAAAAGCAGGACTTTCCTATTAACTTTGGTTGAACAGATAATTTACTTACTGTTGGAGATACTTTGAAAATGTATTTTTTTTTCTGTGTTGGTAAGTATAGTACATTTAAAAAAATTGCTTGTTATTAAAATTATTTTAGCATCTTGGGTCATATTTTAAGCCTTAACAGATTAAAGGTCTGAAGAATGCTGCAAATAACTCATTTTTTTGAAAAGTAAGTCCCTGACATTAGAGATGGGTCTGCAGTGAAGACACTGGTTCTTCAGAGAGCAGGAGTTTAGTTCCAAACATCCAACCAGGTGCCTGTAACTCCAGCTCTAGGGGATCAGACACCCTCTTCCAGACTCTTAGAGCACCACACATACACATGTGCAGACAAACACAAATTCCTAGATTTATGACTTCTGTCTCCAAAAAGTAGAAATTGGAAAAAACAAAAACCTAAGCTGTCTGAAAATTTAGTACAGCTGTATTTAAGTCAAGAAACATAATAAGCATTATTGGTGTATCTTGGTTTAAAAATAACTGGCTGCAATGAATCTGTCTCCCATTATCTCTAAACTAAGCCGCCAGATTATAATAGTACCAATTCAGGGAAATAAACTTCTTTCAAACAGGGTTATTCACGGGGCAGGTGTGAGAGCAGAGGGTAGTCAATGGAGAATGAGACCAAGTCTCTGTCAAACAACTTCCTGAGCCCCTGGTCTTAGCAGACAAGATGTACCCATGCCAAGCTTCCAAAGTCTGTAACTCCAGTCAGGCCAACTTTGACCTTTTGAATGACTGGCATCCAGAAACTCTTGTTGAATCCAGGACTGGGTATATATAACAAGAGGGCTATAAAAAATGTGCAGGGTGTTTACCTACTCCTCTACTATTCTGAACACCATAAACTCTTTGGAAGAGAATTGGGACTGCACAGACACAAAAATATCGGCTTCCAAACTATGGACCTTATCAAGCTTGATATGTTTTTTTTAACTGGAGCATTCTCTTTTTATACAGTTAGTAAATAATCCCACTGGAAAATGCAAGCTGACAGGAATTTTTCATAGCGCCTCTAACAATGATGGCCAGGCATGGCCACACTGCTCTCAAGCTGATACCCAGGAAGTTGGCCGTAGTGGACAGCAGCCCTAAGTGTCTGGAAGGTACAGGAGCAAGAGTTCTGTCCTGCTTCTGTGTACTACTGTAATGCTGCCCCAGACAAAGCAAAACTCTCAAGATGCTTGAATAGATTTACTTGCAGTTATAATAACAAAAGTATGTTTACATAATAGCTTACATTTTCCATATAAAATAAACTGACATCATATTCATCTTCACTTTTTACATTTCTCACCTGTTCCGTGTTCAGCGAGAACTCCCAGATTGTGCTGTCCGGCCAACTTTGGAAATGCACATGAATAAACTCTCCATGTCATCCTTAACCACTGTGACTGGGATTTGTTTACCCATTATACAGACACTTCAAAAACCATGTTTGTTCTCTAGAAATCCTTTTGTTCTTCTCTTGAATTATGGTACATTTTATACAAGTTAACACGATTTATTTCCACACCTTCACAATCCCGTCTCTAGAAGCAGTCACGATGAAGCCCTGAGTTGTCTGGAAGGTGGCAATATCTGTGATGATGTCATGATGTCCCACAGGAAGAGACTCTGGGCCCCTTCGAGGAGTGTCATCACTTGGTCCTACCTTCTGCTTATTCTGAATTTCCTGTTTAGTGGGTAGAAGTCAAAACAAAGGCCTTAAATTAAACCTGTGCTACCTTCTACCACTTGACAGTATTCCTGGGGCTAAGACAGTAACACCTTGTTTAAAGTCATCATGCAACAGAGAGTAAGAGTCCAGAGTGACCTAGGTTCCATCATCAGATTGCATGAGTAACTGCTATAAATGGGTAAGTATAGTCTGAGTGCATACTAATATGAATAGAATAGAGACATATACTTGATATTCTGGCATTTTAAAACACTCTTATGGAACGCCTACTCTGGCCAGCACATCTGATACTCTAGAGGTCAATAGCCATGATGGGGTCTCAATTTCCTATTTATTAGCTATGGGCACTGGGACAAAGACTTATCTCCTTGCTTGTAAAAGGAAAGCAGTTCATTTTAAAATTGACCAAGTGAGTGAGGTACAATGGTGCACACCTATATTCCCATCACTCAGGAGGGAGAAGCAAGGACAATGAACTGAGCAGTGTGGCCAAACATTCTCCTTGCTCGCTTCCCACCCACAGAAAAAAAAAAACAGAAGAAAAGATATTCCTTAAAGAAATCTTCAAATATCTTGGTCAAAGCTATCTTTGGGCCTACAAGAGTTAGAAGAAAACAAGTCCCATACCTGGACGACTTCAGTGCCTTCTATTATCTTCTTGTAGTAGGACACAGATGGAGAATTAGTGCTACCCGCTACAACATAGGACCGCTCTGGGGAAACCAAGTCCCAGAACCTAGGGGAGAGGGAACGAATGGTGATAAGATCTGCGGTTAATATTATTGGCTTATACAAAAAGGACTGATGAATGTATCAGGAAAAGATTTTTCTAGAATCAAAGCAGGGCACTAATCACTGTCTGGCAAGGTACTGATGAGTTTAACACCACACGGCCAGTGCCTAGAAGCATCCTTTTGTTTCAAACTGAAGCACTCTTTGAGACACTGTACCTTATTTTCATGTCTGAGCCAGCTGTTAACAGGATAGGATTTCCATCTGCAGGACTGCAGTAGATGCCATGGACACTGTGAGGCGAAGGCTTCAAAGAAAGAAACATGTGGTCAAATAAAAGACATTTGCACATCCCATAATTGACAATATCATTTTCAGCAGAAGTGAATTAACTGTCAATAGCTGCATAGGCAGCTCATACCTCAAGACGTATGCCCTGTGTAAGTGGTCTCCCATCCTTTCCTTTGGGGGTAGGGGGACTTCAGGATCTAACTAACTGCTTTGAAGGGCTGCAGGTGTAGCTCAGAGTAGAGTGCTGCTTACACAGCATGTGTAAGGCCCTGAGTTCAATCTCCAGTGTGTCTCCTCCAAAATAGACCCTCTGGCTGAGCATGGTGGTATGCTGCAGTAGTTGAGTGATCTGGGAAGAAGAGGCCAGGGTATCGCCAGCTCAAGGCTGGCTTGGGCCACACACTCAGACCCTGTCAGACAGTAACTTCAGGATTACTTTGCTAAGACCCTATTAAGCGGGGGCCAAACCTTTCCTATGTTTAGCTTACTTGTCAAGATGCTCAGTTTGTGTTGGGGATCTAGCCCAGTAGTGTCTCTAATCTAGAAAACTGGTTGTTCACTCTTATGGCCTGACCAGCAGCTACAGCTCGCTGCTACACCCAGCATCACAAGAGGACCAGAGCACACGTCACCAGCCTGGGAAAAAAAATCAAAATTCCAAGCCCATTTTCTAGTGAATGCATATTGCTTTTACACCACCATGGAGACACAAACCCTAAGCCGGGGACCTTGCAGATATAAGAGGACTGCATTCCTTATTAACAGGCTCTGCTCCGATGTGGGATCACCAACATCGGCTAGGACAGACCCAGCAAGCTAAAACAATTAGAAAACAGGCAGCAACAGTCGCATGGTAACTTGTGTTATCAAAATCACAAATTAGACATAACTACAAAATCCATGAGACCATGCTTAGGATGGAGGTAACAACATTGTTCTTTGCAGTAAACACTGGTGACAAACCTGTAATTCGGAAAGTGGTGGTGCACTGCTGGCCCAGAGAGTCAATCTTCTGTCACCTGTCTCCATGTCCCACATGGAGACTTCATTATTGCCCTGAACAGCTGAGTGACAAAGACAGCAACTGTTAGCGCTTCTTGCACATCTTGGTGGCAAATGCAAGGCAGCCTGTATCTATTTCCATCCTGCAAGAATACTAAAATTCTTAAGATAACAGCACAACTTTGCCACCAGACTGGGTGAGTGATGCTAACAGTAAATAAATACTGCATTACAACCAGGTCTTGAAGAGACTGTGGAATAAAAAGGCAAATTATACAGATTTTTTTCCCCTCAAGAATCTACACTATAAATGGAGAAAGGAAAAAGAAAAGACACGTGGAAACAGCCTACCTCAGGGACTAAGGCAAAACACCCTACTCAGGCCCCAAATGCTGGACAGATGGAGCAGCAGGTGGCCCATTTCAGGCAGAACGAACTAAGTAGGCAAAAGTTCAAGGGGTTTTGCTCTAATTGAAGGATATTTGTGGAAAGTAGAAACCATGGGCCTAATGGAGAATCTGTCCCTTAGGTACTGTGCTGGGGGAGCAGGGGCAACAACATACCAGGATTCATTCACTTATTATCATCTACAGAGCTGGCACTCCTCACTGTCTGGGGCACTGGGGGAAAGGTGGCCAGCAGAGCAGGGAATCCCCTATTGTAGGGAGCTTCCACTCTAGTGGGGAACAGAACATTCGAGAAGAGCAGCAGGGATGGAACCAATCAGTGAGGCCAGGTAAAGCACAGGGTGACTGTTACATTACACTCCCTCTCTGACGTTTGACCCGTATGAATCATATACCTGTCTCTTGTACTATCTGGCTTCTAGATGCATGTGACCTGTACCAATCTAAAAATAAAAGAGAATGGCCCCCAAATAGTTTAAAGTCCTACTCCTGAGAACCTGTAAATGTTGCCTTAAATAACAGCATGATTTTAAAGATGTAACTAAGGACCTTGCAAGGGGTGAATCATTCAGAATTATCCAGTGGGCCCTGAATACAATCAAAAGTGTGCCTGTATGAGGGAGGCAGACTTGTGATCAACAGCAATGGGCCTCGGTGCTATGCTTCAGCTCTGAAGAGGGGACATTAGGAAGAGAAGCAGGGAAAGCCAGCACTGGAGTCTCCCACGGCCTCCACTGTAGGCCTGACCACAAAATGCAGGTCAGACTTGTAACTGCAGAACCTTGTAAGTCTGTGTTAAATCAAGTATGAACAGCCCTGATCGGAGACTAAAGGCAGAGGCGAAAGAGTACCCCTCACCTCAAAAATCACTGTTTGGAATGAGGAGAGGGCTCAGAGGGTAAAACACTTGCTACACCACCTGATGGCCCAAGTTTGGTCCCCAAATTCAAGTAAAAAGCCAGATGCAGTGTTGCACATCTGTAATCCCAGCATTCTTACAGCCAGATGGTAGGTGGAGACAGAAGAACTGCTTGGAAGCTCGTAAGGCAGCTAGCCTAGAGTACACAACAGCAACAGAAGCAGGAGTGACCCTGCCTTGAAAACAAGGAAGAGAGAAGTGACTGGAAAGTTGTCCTCTGATCTTCACATGCACTCAGGTGTGTGGGAGCCTGTTCATGTTTACACACACGCACCACTGTTCCTCTCAAGGTGGTTTTTCTATTCAACATCTTTGTAAACTCCAATAACCAGACCCTCACAACACCTCCTGCCTCTCTTCCCACACCTGTGTACAGGAGCCTTTAGAAAGAAACCTGTCTCGTTGGGATCCTGACTGGATAGAAAAGCCCACATATAGCCATTTGGACCATGGTAGAGTCTGGCTGTTTCTTGGTGTGTTAGTCTGTTTTACCCATTGCTATGGCCGAGCAAAATGAATCCAGGGTTTATTATGGCTCATCATCTTAGTTTGTCAAGGCAAGGAGGGGACAGTGGCTGGGGCATAGCTATGCTAGCTGGCTCTCTCCTTCTCGGTTCCAGAGTGTGAACTGTGTCTATGAGAAACAGGAGGACAGATGAAAAACCTAAAGTTATCAAGCTTAGTTCTGCTGCCAGACTGTGTTTGCTGTTTCACCTCAAATTCTTATAAGGTGTTTGCATCCATACTTTACAGATAAGGAAAAGTAATTTCAAAGGTATGTCCAAGTGAGGCTGCAGAAATGGCTCTACAATTAAGAGCACCAGCTGCTTTTCCTGAAACCCAAGTTCAATTCCTAGACTCACAAGGCCTCTTACAACGGTCCCTAACTCCAGTCCCTGGTGATATGACACCTTCCTCTGGCCTCTAAGCGCACTGCACACACATGGTGCACAGACAAGCATGCCGGCAACACACCCATACACATTAAAAAGACAGCTCAGTATCAAGAACATCGAGTGCCCAGCGATGGAAAGGCAGGGGCCTGTGAGAAACACAGACGCAGGTCAGCTGCTTCCTTGCATTTCTAGGAAGACGCCGCAATTTTAACAAAAACACATGGGTCTGAAAGAAATAAAAGAAGGAAATAAAATGAAAGATGAGAGATGGCAGAGGAAAGGAGTGGAGAATGGTGGTAACGGCTGAGTGTTAGTTCAGGACTGAACACACAATGCTGGGCCGCTTCTGTGTGCAAAGTATCAAGCATCCGGTTCACACGTAAAACAAAGACTCTAAGAGAGCAAGAGTCTCAGCAACAACACACAGCACAACTTCCCAAGTTGAATGTCAGTCCCGAGTCTTACCTGCAATTACCCAGGACTGGTACAAGGGGTGCATGGAGAGGCGCCGGATGCGAGCTCTGGAGGGGTGACAGTGACTGGAGATCGGCAACTGGAACCTCATGTCCCAACACGCCATGGTACCGCTGCTCGTGCCTCAAGGTTAAAGGGCACAAACCATTAAAATCTAAGCAGCAAAGCACACAATGCCATGTTTACAACAATGGCAAGCAGTATTGCCTTTGCATGAATACATTTTTAGATTTTTGATTAAGACAGGGTCTCACTATGTCTCCCTGGCTGGCCTGGAACTTGTTATGTAGACCAGACTGGCCTCAAAATAAGAGATACACCTGCTTCAACCTCCCTAGTACCAGGATTACAGACATGCACAGCCCTGGATAAGGTATTTTAGAACTGCCTGAGTTACTGAGAAAAAGGTTTTATTGCCAGGCCTGGTATCACAGGCCTATAATCTCAGCTACCCTAGATGCTGAGGCCTGCCTGAGCTACAGAGCAAGTTCAAGACCAGCCTTGGCAACTTAGTGAAACCATGTTTCAAGATAAAAACTGTAAACAAGATGTGGCTATAGCTCATCAGTACAGCACTTGCCTAGTATGCAGAAGGCCCTGAGATCGCTTCCTTGTACTTGCCAAGAAAGGGAAGAAAAAGGACTTTGCTCCCATGAGGCTGTCTCTCCAGTTTCAAACAGCTGCCATGGTTGCCAAATAACAGCCATCATGCAATTACAGTGCTGTCTAATGAATGTAAATTCAAAATGTAAATTCAAAATGTATTAAATGCTAGTGCTGCTATCATCTGCCAAAGGCACCCACATAACCAGAAGCCATAGGTAGAGAAGATGAAGCTGTATTTGGTAGGCCAGAACACTCAGACTGCCTGAAGAACAGACCTGTCTTCACTGAAACCCAGAGACCACTGTAAAGTCCAAAGTGGCAGTAATTTATGGCTGTCACTAGACTGCAATCATCTCCATGTGTCCTTTGCTCCAAAATATTCTGCAGACAGATACAGGTGTTGAAGCCAGGCAGAAAATGGGGAGATGTCCACACAACCTCCCCATGGCACCTTAAACTCTACTAAAGAATAATGGCCCTGTGGCAAATGAACACTGCCCCAGCACTGAGCAGCTGAGCTGAGCAGAGCGTGTTCTTGAGATGGTCTCCAGTTCCACAGAGAGATGGACAGAAGGACAGCGGGTCCCTCTAGGTCTCTCTGCCACACTCCATGACAATGATGAAGACAGCCACAGGTGACATTTCTCTCTCCTTTGCAAACCTGCTAGCTACGCACTATCTCATCTTCTGCATTGCTCTGCATGCTACCCTCTTCCAGTACCTACATAAAAATGAATACAGGAAAGGGCAGATACATAAGGATAATAGAGTAAACTAAGAGATTCAGAAACCTAACCTCAAATACAGAAAGCTTTAACTTTTCTGGGTACGAGAGAAAGAAGAAAATATGGTACTTTCAAGGAACACATTCAAAGCAGTGTGCAGGGGAGTGGCCTGGGGATATATGTCAACAGGAAGAGTGCTTGCCTAGCATACAAAGAAAGTCCTGGTTCCGTGCCTAGTACCACATGAGCCAGACATCGTGTTGCCCAGCACTTGGGAGACAGAGGCAGGAAGATCAGAAGTTCAAGGTCATTCTTAGGTATCGTGAGCCAGCCGGGACACACTAGGACCCTGTCTCAAATCCAAAAGGAAACAAACACACACAGGACCATGGGAAGATATGACCTGTGAAAACAGAGGGAAGGGGGAGGAAGGTGGTGACAGACAGTGCTATGGCCAAGCAATATAAATTGCTTTAGTGACATACAGAACTGTCACTATAACTAATAGACATACAGAACCTTCACTTGTGATTAACGACAATGCATTCATTGTCTATTCCAATTACTGAAAGTTTTAAATATTTTTTACCACAAAATATGTGAGTTGCCAATTTCCTAATTACCTGATTTAATCATTCATCAATATAAACTTGTCAAAATATCACACTGTATTGCAATTAAAACTATAAATTTTTAACGTTTTAAAATCAGCAATCCCATTCATAGGTATACACCTTAGAAAAACAGAATTAAAGTTCCTATAAAAACCTACTTGCAAATATTTACAGCAAATTTAATCAGAAAAGCCCCAAACAAGAAACTATTCAAATCATCCAACTGGAGCATGGGTGGTCAGTACACAAATTGTCTATAAATAAAATGAAAAATAATTTAAAACTCCTCATATATGAAAACAATGGAATAGCTTTACAAACTTTATATTTAGTGAGAAAAAAAAAAAACACTGTATGATTCCATTTCTGTGACATTCTGGAAAGGGCAAGAAACAGTGGGGACAGAAATTAGGTGAGTGGTTTTACACTCCTTAAAGAAAATGACAACAAAAACTGGTGAGGGTGTGGGGGAAGGGGAGCCCTCACCCAAGGCTGCTAGGAGTACAGACTGGTGCAGCCACTCTGGAAGTCAGTGTAGGTTTCCTCAAAAGGCTAGGAATTGATCTACCGTGTAATTCAGCTATACTGATCTTGGGTAAATACCCAAAGGGCTCTATACCATCCTATAGACTCCTGCTAATCCATGTTCATTACTGCTCTATGCACAATAGTTAGGAAACAGAAACAGCTCGGATGTCCATGAACTGTTGAATGCATAACGGAAATGTGGTACCTATACACAATGAAATTTTATTCAGCTGTAAAGAAAACTGAAATTAGGAAATTCAAAGATAAATGGATGAAACTAGAAACATTATACTTAAGTTACAAAGATACCAAAAGACAAACATCACATGTTCTCACTCATACAGATCCTAGCATCGGATCCTTATAACTGTGTTACACTTGGAGCGTCTTTGAATCCAGGAAATGAGACAGGGGCCATGTGGTGCGGAGGGACATCTTAAGAGAGGGAAGAAGTAGAAGACAGGTGACATGACAGGGAAAGAGGAATGGGAGAGAAAAGCACAGGAGGAGTGGGGTGGGGATCACTCTCTCTGAGAACCTACCGAAAGCCATGTGAAACCTGCTGGCTTACACGCATTCATACAAGTGTTGAGCGGGAGCTACCCTACACAGGGGATACCCTCCCCACAGAAGTGACAGGGTCAGGAGACTGTAAGCAGTCATGGAGGACCAAGGTAACACAGTGTCATGAACCCACATAGCTGTGGATGTCTACACAAGAGAAGCCAGCCAACAGTCTAGCACGGAAAGGGGTGGGACTCACAATCCCTTCCCCTAACTGAGCAGAAAGGAAAGGCCGCCGATGGTGCCAGGGGAAGCAGAGGCTGTTTTCTTTGATCGTGTTGCCTCAGGTTACTCATGCAAGTGGATGCCCTTGACCCAGGCAAAGGGGCAGTACAAATTGCATTCAGTATTTCTCTCTCTCTCTCTCTCTCTCTCTCTCTCTCTCTCTCTCTCCCTCTCTTGTAAGGAACATGAAGTTGGGCAGGAGTGTGGGAGAGCACAGGGAGAAGTCAGAGGTGAATAAGTTCAAAATACAATGTATACACAGACGAAATTTTCAAAGAGTAAAACATTTTTAAAAATAGTTTTAAATATGGTTAAAGGCAATTTTCAGAAGAATCATTTCTATTCTGTTTGTGGTAAGGGTCACACTGGAGTATAAAAGTTTCAGAACTTAGAAACACTTCATAAATAAACAAAAAATAAGCAAAAGATTGTGTGCCTCTTCAGTCTTTAGCTGGAAGGGAAGGGCAAAACAGAAATCCATTGTCCTGCTTTTCCACTAGGCCCTCTGATAGGCGCTTCCACTCCTACATCTTCAAAGAGGCCTCTGAACGAACCAGTCCCAAGATGAAGATGCTAGACTCAGTTAAGTAGCTTGTCTGAGGTCACAGGAATTTAAAATTGTTGGCTCAAATTCAAATTCTGTTTTCCTTAAGTTGGAGCTTCTCCAACAGCTCAGAGAACGCCAACAACACTTAATTGCTGTGAGTGTAAGACAAATGCTCACTGGAAATGAGAAATTAGTTTCTGGTTTATGATGCTGATTTCACCCTTTCACACAATGCTGTTTGTGGTTTTGTTTTGTTTTGTTTTGTTTTGTTTTGAAATGCAGTCTCATGTAACCCAAGTTGGCCTTGAACTCCTGATCCTCTTCCCTTTACCAGCCAACCACCATGACTGCAAGGGTGCACTACCCAACCACCATGACTGAAAGGTTCAGGCATTATGCTGGCCTGCCCCTGTTACCTGGTGGAACAGGCAGTACCCTGGTCAGCCCAAGGTTCCATGGGAACTAAGTCTGCACGCAGGTGCAGAGGACCCCTTTAAAAGATAGGCCCCTGCCCATTTACGCTCTCTGTTCTCTTTGTTCCCTCTCTCTGTTTCCCTGCTCTACTCTGTCTCCCACCTATGCTCGCTCTCTGTCTCTCTATGGCGACCAGCCATGGCGGTCAGCCATTTACCCCTGTTCCTCTTCTTAGCAGCCCCATTCTGCCGAGCCTTATAATAAACTTATAGTCAATATGTCTGTCTCAGCATTTCTCTTTTCTTC